TGAGTGCTGAACACTGAGACCAACAACTCTCCAAACAATCCAGTGATATCACCTTTGAATGAGTCATGTGGAGGGCAGGGTGGAGAAGTGCAGACAAGTCATGAGATTGTGCTTGCTCAAGCAACCTAAAAAAAAATGGGATGTGTGTTTGGATATGTAGAAGGGAGATTTCATCCACTAGCCACCCAACACAGGGTGTCACAGCTTTGGGGAGCATGTCCATGGCTTCAGAGATTTGTAGTTAGCTGGGGTTTTTCTCCCAGATATGATGAGGGTGACATTACCTAGAAAAAAAATGTGTAGGTACACACACATATGCACATACTGCGAGCACACACACACATATATACACACACTGTAAGAACACCAAATAAATTGCTTTTTTGCTTTCATTTCTGAGCACATACCTTACTGGTTCATCTTTTGCGCCACCAGAAAAATTCAATCTTCAGATCATGTTTAGACTGTGACTTCAGTCACGTTACACTGTGGGGGCAGGCTCTCCTTGAGCTCACCTGCAGCTTGCTTAATTTCTCAATGAGTCTGAAGATAATTAACTAAGGTTACAATAGGACCTGCAGTCCTTGCTCAGACCCAACTCTATCACTAGGATTCAGACTCTGCTAGATGTACAATGACCTTTTATAAAATGATAAAACGTATAAAGGCCCCAAATGGACGTTCAAATCCTCCAGCAGTATTATTAAATAATTTGCATCTATTAGAAGAAGACAAAGTCCTCAGCAGGATCTCCATAAGCCAACATAGATCCTTCTCAACAAAGCAGCTGCATCCCATCCTACCTGGGAGCATCCTACTCTGAGATACAACCAGGATCCTCCATCCACCAGGAGAGAGAGTATCACTGGGTAGGCAGTCAGGATGAAAAAGGGGCACCTTAAAAGTCTGTCCCTACTCCCCAGGCTGTCTCTGTGTTTCACATGTGGATTTGGTTAGGTTGGATGGAGACCTCCCTGCTGGGATCACTACCCCCCAAAACAACAGTCCCATTTAAGCAGGGCAAGTCATGACTCCATTGTCCTCTCCTTGTGAGGGCTCTGGGGTCCCAGATGCTCCATCACAGCAGGAGTTGTTGGATCCCAGCACACATACTGCACTGTTCATCACACCAAGACCACCCCACGGGCCAATGTCCCCAAGGCGGGTGTCAACGTCTCCCCCTTTGGAAAATACATCAAGCTTTGCCATGAAGTGTTAAGCTGGATGTCTGGGAAAGGTGTCCAGAGGGCTGATTTTGAGTGAGTAGGAAGAGCTCCTTTTTGGAACAAGACCAGGGTTTCACAAACTTGTATTGTGACACACATCCTACAACATTTGGGCTTCCTGTTCTTTAATATGGCCTTGTTCTGGCTTTGATATTCTTGGGGCCAGATCATCAAAAAGTGCTCTTACACTTAGATATCAGGCTAAAGTGCTGGTGCATCACTCTGTGTTGCTGTACCTGATGTTTTACTCCTGTTTTCTATTTCTGGACCTTGGACACATCAGACTGTGTTTTCTGAGCTCTTCAAGTGTCCATTGCTCAGTACTGTCATCCACACAGCTTAACAACACCTATGTTCCTATATAATAACTGTTACAAAACCCAGTCCAAAACCCCACCCTCTCTCAAAATGTTGGTGTATATTTTTGTGTATGAAAGCAACAGCTAATTTCTTCAATTACTGACTCATTCCCTAAATAAGACCCCACAACTCTTCCTTACCTGCAGCCTCCCAGTGCTTATCAAGAGAGTCTGACGCTCTAGCATGTACAAAGTTTCCATCCAAGGACCTGTTCTGGGGACTCCCTGACTAGTTCCGTTCATCCCAGTGTGATCAAATGAGGAAACTACAGATACACTCAGTACACGTCTCTTCCAAGGGGCACGCTTATTTGCATGGTAATGAAGATGGTAATGAGCCCCTTGTCTTCAGATGCACACAAGGTTCTAGTAGGTGAAAAACAGCCAAAGTCAAAATTCAGGCAATTCAGAGCTTTTCTATCTTTTCAATTTGTACTTTTTATCTGGATAAAAAAGACAAAGCATGTAGTACAGAAACTGCATTGTGCAATGAACAGCTAAACACCAGATCTAAATTATTATTTTAGCAACCATCAGGCTGTTTAAGCAAGCACCAATCTCTTAAGTAGCCTGGCTCAAGCAGTAATTACTAGTCTCATTTCTAAGGAGACCCTTCTTTTATTTGCTTTGTTACCATAGCTTTTTGTTTCCTTTTCCTCTCTCTTAAAGTTGAAAAAATGCTACATAAAGCTGCAGCTCCTCTGAGAACTCAGCGTGCGCTGCAAACAGGGTTCACAACAACACTCTGAAAGAGATTATGGTAATTAGCTCCATTCTCCAGTGGAGAAACTGAGGCACGGAACCTCTCGCCAACAAAGTTTTGAGAAGGACTACATGCTTAATGAGCTCCTTCACCTTTATTAGAACCCAAACACTCACACTGAGCTATGGCAAGGTCAAGCTGGGACAATGAAATGTCTTAGGGCTGAGAGCCAGAGATCCTTTTCAGACAGCACAGTGCTCTAGGTGGAGGCTGATCCCTGGGCAGGATGGAGATTGAGGGGGTTGGGGCAGTGAAACAGACCCATTCTTTCTTGCCAAACCTGAGACTGAAGAGAGGAATTGATGACAGGGCTTGGAAACCCACCGCTGATCCACATTGTCCAAAGCATCGGACGGTGCCTGTAGGTCCAGGGTGGTAGATGGGGGACAGTGCAGGAAAGTGGGAAGGCTCAAAGCTGTGGTCAGATGGAGAACGGAGGAGATGCTACATGCCATGCAAAAGGAGACTGTCCTCAGCATCACTGAGGTGTTTAAAAGCTCTTGGCTGAACGCTCAGGGGTGGCGTTTCTGCTGTTGTTAGAAATGGATGTGGTGATTCAAGAAGCCTACTGCCAATCTATAAATCTCACCACTGTCCCAGAAGGATTAAACCCCCTTTAATCTAAAACAACCAAAGTGTGGTCATTGTCTCGGCAAACCCCTAACCCCAGAGCCCATGGTTCAAACCCATGGGCTACAACACCAGTGACTGCTCATGAAACTGCAAATGCCATTACCTCCATGAAGCCCTGAGATGGTTTTGTCCGGGACAGAGTTAATTTTCTTCATAGTAGCTAGTATGGGGACTATGTTTTGGAATTGTGCTGAAAGCAGTGTTGATAATTCAGGGATTTAGGTGTTTTTTGGTATTGTTGAGCAGCGCTCACACAGAGCCAAGGCCTTTTCTGCTCCTTACCCCACCAGTGAGTGGCTGGGGGTGCCCAACAAGTTGGGAGGGAGCACAGCCGGGACAGATGACCCCAACTGACCCCAGGGGTATCCCAGACTGTATGGCGTCATCTTCAGTTTATAAAGCTCAGGGAAGAAGGAAGGGGGAATGTTTGGAGTTATGGCATTTTTGTCTTCCAAAGTCACCATTATGCTTGATGGAGCCTGGCTGTCCTGGGTATGGCTGAGCCCCTGCCTGCCCATGGGGAGTGGGGAATGAATCCTTTGTTTTTCTTTGTTTGTGTGAGCAGTTTTCTCACTTTTACCCTTCTGATTCTCTCCCCATCCCACTGGGGGCAAGTGAACACACGGCTCTGTGGGGCTGAGCTGTCGGCTGGGGTTAAAACACAGCAAGGCCCCATGTCTTTCCAGCACAGATGTCAGTCCTGCTTACTGTCTTTATGCAAAGCCTCCTTCAACACACACTGACAGCCAGCATATACTCCAGCCCTATAACTCAGGATTCCCTTCAGCAGGTATTTAAGTTGCATGGCTGCACCTGTGCTTTCCCTGCCTAACCATCTGAAAATGCTGAGATCTGTCTTTTTTTCCCCCACGTGCCCATGATGGAGTAGCCCAGATACCTAGTGCTAAGTCTGGCTGTAATTTCTGCACTTTTTAGGGATGGTTATAAGAAAGCGTTGATGGAACCAGTGCTCTGGGTTTCCTGGATGATGGTTTTTCTCCAGCAAACAGCATGGGGAGATTTTATGTAGTGTCAGTCCCAAACTTCTGGCTCCTGGCACTTGTTTTACTGTTTTGACACCAGGGTTTTGAGCAGAGGGAAAATAATAATGATATCCAGAGCTAATGTTATTTACTAAAATACAAATTAATGCTCAGTCACATGGCGGTACGATTTGTCATCCAGAGCTAAAATTAAAAGAAATTAAGGCTGAGTCAGAAAGTTATTTCAGATCTGAGTGGGGAATGCTAAGTGCTGTGGCCATGTGGGAGCAACACTGACATCTTCTGGTTGCAGAAATAAATCTTCAGCTTTTTCACTGAGAAAACCACCAGGAACCTCCAGCACAAAAGCATAATTAAAGGTTAGGGTGGACAGAAGAGTTTTCAAGTAGCAGGTACAAGCTTGGAGTGGTGGATATTATATGATCCCACTTTAAGAGTCCACCTTAGCATCACTGTAAAATTTGAACAGAAGATGTGTGACTCTGGTGACCCAAAATCCATGAGTATAGGAGGGGAAGGGGTGTTGCTCTTCCATCAGTGCAGGTGACAGGGCTGTAGCCATCCTTTTATGTTGCAGTGCTGAACTGTGCAGTGCAACACATAGGAAGGTGAAAGAACCAAGAACTGATCCATGCAAACCAACAGAGCAACAATTTTCTCTGTCTGATCTGGAATGAGACAGGGCCTAGCTGCCTTGTGCTGATAAATCAGGGATGCATGGGGACCACTGAACCTGTTCCCCAAAATGATGCCCTCAGCCCCTGCTACAGGGTCTCAGAAAGCAGCCCACCCACCCACTCAGGTATGGAAGATACCTCTTGGGTACAAGTATCCCACATCTATTCAGAGTAGGATGGCAACAACATTGTTAGCCAGCGACCTAATAGCAGAAACACACCTTCAGCCTTTTATGCAGGTGTCACCTTTTCCAGACTGGGCTGACCACCACCCTTGCTACCCTGAGCTGCCATACCTTCCCCTTCCTCTAAACATACTTCTTTTGCTTTCTTCCAAGGTTCTTTCTTCCCATCTCTGAAGCCCTCTGAAATTGTCTTCAAGGTCATCTTCTGGCTGGGATACTTCAACAGCTGTGTGAACCCCATCATCTACCCTTGCTCCAGCAAAGAGTTCAAGAGAGCTTTCATCAGGCTGCTCAAGTGCCAATGCCACCGCAGAAGACGGCCCATCTGGCGTGTTTATGACCACCACTGGCGAGGGGCCTCCATGAACAGCTCGGTGCAAGACTCCGAGACGGACCTGAGGCCCAGGATTAACACCTTGAACAGCTCGTTCATATTTAACTCCTCCTTGCAGGAGAGAGCCAGTAAGAAGCAAACACTCAGTTTCAAGGGCTGGAAAATGCTCACTCCTTTCCAGAAACCAGCGTCCACTCAGCTGAAGGAGAAGATGAACAGCCTTTCTAACAAAATCCGGGGTGGCTCCAGAAAAGGGGGGGTGACAGCCACCTACAAACCAGAGGTGGAGTCTGTTTCTATCGGGATCCCTCATGACTTCACAGAAACCATTGACTATCAAACCTATGACTTAACAGACTGCTGTGGGCTGCGAGAAACTGATATTTGAAGCCACTGGGACAGCTGTCGATGGTTTCTTTTAGCAGAAACATGAAGGGATACCATCTGTGGGTCTGTCAGGCAGACTGGAAGCAGCAATCAGGTATAAAATGCAGTTGCCCAAAGGTTATACAAGCATCCCCTGCACAGAGGTCAGCCCCTTCTGTGGGATTATGAGTTCCTCAAATAAGAGCCAATGGCATATCCCATTTTAATGAGCCACAGCAGGAGGGGAAGGTGTGGGGTGGATATGGCCTTAGGACAAGTGCTGTTTCCTCCAGTGGATGGTTATCTTTGATTTTGGAAGAAGCTGTGCAATTAAGGGAAACCAGGATGTCTCCTTTGCCTTAAAAACAACCACCATAAATCTAATGGAAAGCTCAAACCCCAAAAGATGCCAACCCTGCCTTAGTACATGTGATCATGTTTCCATCCAGAGGCAGCAACCAGAAAGGACACTGCCGAGCAGTAGCTGGCAGCTGATCCTTTAGGTAATGGGTTGGGAGCTTGTAAGTCTGCAGGGCTGGACAGGACCTCCAGCCGAGGTCTTCGCTGTGGAGGGCAAGCAGACTGTGGTATTCCCAAGGAGGGTGGGGGAATCCTGGCTCTCAGCCATCATGTCCACAGTGACCACAACTTTGACCCTTCCACATAACCTGGTTTTAGACCAGAGGAGAAGTCCAGATGTGTACACTGATGCTGATGGGTGTGCAGGTCTCTCTTCTCTAATTCCAACCTATGATGCATTTCTCATTTCACTTGCCAGTGAAGCACTTACAACCCACCTTGTTCTAGTGTGGATCTGTCTGTGATACAGAGAGAAAGCAGATCCTTTTGGTGTCAGTCATCCCCAACCTTCTTCCTCTTGCTGTTTCTCTCAAACAACACAGAATAAAGATGCATCCTAGGGGCTTTGCTCAGGTCCATAGTCAACCTGCGCTGTGGCTCAGGGAAGGTGGGATAGCTGGGTTTGGGGCCTATTTCTACTACCCATAGAGTCAAAGCTAAAATGGAGCTGATGTGCAGTTGGACCTACCTCATGTAGGTGGATCTGCCTCCCAGTCAAGGTTAAGACTCTTCTACCAAGTAGTTTCCCACATACTTGACACATCAAAGCCTTTGGTGGCTATCAACAATTTCCCTTTGTTGTGTCCACAAGCATGGTCAAAAGCAATGTCAATAAGGGGTTTTTTTTGCCCTGCTTACAGCCCCAGCGTGTGAGCTCCACTCAGGAGGGCATCGTGGCCTCCTCCAGGGACCTCAGGGAGGTTGGAACCATGACAGACCCACATTGACCGGGTTCACACAAATCATGTTTTGCAACTCAGAAAATTGTCACCCAAACTCTACTTGGCCATGTATTGCAGGCACTAGTTTTATCAAATCTCAGACAGGCAACAAGCCACAATGAGCGATTGTCAGATTAAGCTGTGAGCAGAGGCAGGAGACACACAGGCAGTGGAGACAAAGTCAGTATTTGACATGTAGTGTCTCAAGCCAGGTGACTAAAGAACTAGAACATGAAGTCAAGGGATTTAAACTTGACACTGAACGTGCCCTGGATGGAAACTCATCCACATCAGCACTGTCCCCCAAACCCATTAGGAGTCTTTCATGAATGTGTCTACAGCGCTAGCTAATCCTTTTAAGGGTGGTTATCAAAGGAAGATGAAAGGGCCCTAGGCATAGCAAAGAGAATGTCACCTTTCTTTCTGATGTTCATTTGTTTTAAAGGAAAACAAAACAGAGGAAAAGTTGGACTTCTTTTACTTTTTTTTTACAGTGTATACTAAGACATGATATCTGGAGTTGGCCCTATCTCAACACCCTTAACACCTTTCTACTCTTTACTCAATGCAAGTCTCTGAACTGGATGAATTACTGCACAAAGACCTGCAGATTTTGTCCAAATATTTTTCTCCCAGCAGCAAATCCCACCAAGGCACATAGACAGCTTTGCACTTGCACTGATCCCAGACTCATTATCACCTGAATGTTCTCCAGTGTCTGCAAAATCAGCCAGAGGTTGCCAACTTGAGAGGTTCAACCCTACCAAACCAAGGGCCCAATACCCCATGGGAACCTCTGTGGGGAAATGCTTTTTTTTTTTTTTTCTTTTTTTCCCCATTTCCTTGGCCTTCAATGCAAGTGAGACCCTGCAGTGATAATGGGGTGACACAGAACATCATTTTGCAGTATAAAGATTGCATCTGCCACTGGTTTCCTGTGCTTTTTTGGAATCCTGGTGGGAAAGCACACTGCTGGCACTGGGGACGTAGCAGAGGAGGCATCAGGGAGAGGGCAGTTGCAGAAGAGTAGAGATGCCTGGAAGGTCAAGGTGAAAGCATTACTCCTCCCACCTTCCACCTACTTCTCGGGATGCATGTGCACACATGCCACTGTCAGAGGGAGTAAATGCCCCCAGATCTGCATTTTTAGACCCTGTTCTGGTGACACTGCTTTGCAGGTCTAACGTGCAAATGCAAAATGTAAGCAATCTAGGGGCACAGTTTAGGATGAACTGATAAGGATATCTTCAGAAGTGAAAGTCTGATCAAGGAGGAAGATGGCCACTGGCCATTAAATACTCTTTGATGCTCAGGAGCAGTTTTATCTGGTGTCTCTCCACAGCCAGACACCCATAGCACATGGTAACGCGTGCATCCGTGACCATACAGATACACATACACACTTTATTGCATTTATATATATTTTTCATCTCCAGAATAGCAGACGTTCTCCTATAAATGGGCGGACATTGTCATATAAATGGAGACTTTGCAGGGGCTTTTAGCAATTGCTGGCAAGCAATTCATTCCCACAAATGAGTTGACATTGTTGCTTATACTTCTCACTGAGCTTGTAAATATACTTCTTCCTTTTTTCCAATCTTGAGATGTTTACATTTACATCCTCTAGCCCCTTGAAAGCATCCAGAAGGGAAATAAAGATTCATCTGGAGGTTCACTGCCTCTCCATCCCAATTCTTTACAGACCTCTAAGGGAGAAAATGAGGATAAAGTCTGTTTAAGCACACACATATGCATATACACACATAAGTGCCCAAACCCTGGCTCATTTACTTACTGTATTTGATCTGGCCCCAAGAGACACTGTAGCAGGTGCTGTAGGAAAGTCTTGAGCTCTGCTGTGCTGCATTCAGGCAAAATACTTGTTTCTCCCTTAGACCAAAGCCCCACTTTCATTGAACATCTTGTATCAGAAGAAGCAATGCCAAGACTGGACTCTGAGGCTGTTCGTGTAGAGCTTCATTTAGAGTAGACAGGGCTGCCTTTGGTGGCAGGCAAGGAAGGACAATTTTTTGTTAAATATGACCTGAGTATCTAAAATTGTGCATTTTTCTTTGATTCTCTTAATCTTCAAGCTCTCCCAAGTTTGGAAAAATGGGCTCAGACCTTCAGGAGGTAAATTTGTCCTCCTCCCTCTGACTTCTCTGGTTGCAGAAGGGTGTGATCAGCTGAAGATATGGCCTCATTTCTCCACATTAGTCAAGCAGGCCATTTCCCAAAGTGCCCATACCCTGGTTATCGAGCAGCTCTCACCTCATTGCACTGGCTTCGTGTCACTTTTGCATCATCAGCCCTTGCTGCTTCAACAAACCAAGTGTTGAGGGTGGTGAACAGCAGCTTTTATGTCAGTAGACTCTCACAAGTCCTATTTAAGGCGAAAAGGAGGTCCCTGTCAGCCTGAGCTGAACTGCAGTTGGGTTGCATTACTATTGTTTACAGTGTGTATATAAGTGTACATTTTCTTTAGCAGACATTGGAATTTTTTATGTATAGATTTTTATTTTCATCCCCAGATGTATTTATTAGCTGGAGTATTTCTGTTTTGTGATTCAAGTTCTGTCAGATTGATGTAAGCTCTATGAAACAGAATGCACATATTTTTGTTTGTTTGTACCAAATACATGCACAAACCTGTCTAAAACTTCGCTGTAAATTGTTGCTGTGTCTGATTTTTAAATCAGGGGTTGTAGGGAAGGAGGGAGGGAGGAAGAAAAAACCTGCAAATTAGCCACCATTTTTTTTTTCTCAAAGACTTTTTTGTAATTTCATAAGGTTAATCACTCCACATGAAAGAATTTATGATAAAAAGAGGTCAGAAGAGGACACTCTCAGCTTTGTGCCATGCAGGGATGAAGGGGTCACATCAGCCATGGCTTCTCTGAGATGGTTCCTGGAGCAGGAGGAATCTGGATGCAGCCATGATCCATGGGAGTGGAGGAGGACAGGAGGAGGGAAGGCTGTTGTGTAATTGGCGGTCAGGAACAAGCTGTGGTGAAAGTATTTCCATCAGAGTAAGGTTTTAAAATGAAAATTAAAATTTTACCTTATCGAAGATTCCTCTGGAAATTTTTCATTTTTCTTCCAAAGTTAAAATTCCAGCATCTCTCACAAAATCACTACTTGTGATGAAATTAAAATAACATTTCTTATGCTCCCATCTCACTCCAAGTATTCCATTTCACAAAATGCAGCCTGATGACACCTCTAGATACTAGGCACTGGTGTCTCAGGGCTGGGTATAGTGGGAAGAACTCTGAACTGGAAAGCCCAAAGAGGAAAACAGCAAAAGAAGACAAAACACCTGCCTCACCTCTAGGACACTAGAGCAATATCATATAGCAGAGACCAAAATGCGGTGAGGGGAGAAACAGAGATCTGAAAACATCCAACAACAAGTTTTCTAGAAATATTTCTTTCCCATGAAAATGACTAAGCACAACCCAAGGCTGGCTGCCCTTCAGGCATGGCTCCAGGCAGAGACGCAGCGAGCAGCTACCAAATGCAACTCAACAGCTCCAGGGAAAGATTGTCATGACTTCGCTGTGTGTTTTACTGATGCTCCTGTGTGGATGAGTCAGACTGATGCTGGGGAAGGGGGATGCGTGCCGAGTCCCCTGGTGAGCCCACAGCAAAGGGTGTTCTTGATTGACGCTGCTCCCATTTTTTAAAGGGATTTCTTTCTCTTCCGAATGACTGCCAAGCCAGGCTGCTGCCCTGCTTGGATGCCAGGAAGAAAGCATTAGGTGCTTTGCTGTTGTCTTCTCCAAGGGTGTGATAAGAAAGCCCCGTGCCATGGCCAGGAGGACTGAGTAAACCTTTGGAGCCACAAGTTTAATCCTCACCCCAAGTTTTATCCATTAAGAACATTGTGTGGCCTGAGCTACACAGACGGGGTCAGGAGCCAGGGTTACACAGTCCTGGTGTCTGTCAGAGCCTGTGCTGGTGCTCGTCTGGCTCTGCAATCTCCTCTCACAGCAGCCCATAAAAGACCGTGCATCTATTAGCTCAGCCTCGCAGGGATCGTATGTGACCTGTGTAACTCCCAGTGCCTCCTTCTCTCCCCCTACCCCATGCATCCCCACGACAACCTCCAGCTGCAGAAGAGGCTTTCTTCTGCTCTGGTGGGCAACCCGTGGGCAGGTGATTTGCAAAGCACCTTCCTACTGCTGGCCATGATCCAAAGCACAGTCAGTTACGAGGAACATGTGCTCTTTGATTGCAGTGACATAAGGTGCTCCCCTAAAAGCCTGGTGACAACTGTCCAACTAACTTAATTACTTTTTTTTATTTTCTTTTTTTAATTTTTATGTTGGATTGGGGGTATCCACTACTTGGTGTTTCGGTTGTTCTCGGGTCCGTGATGGACTTGTCAGCATTCGAGCCTCAACATTTGCTAAACTGCTGTATTTGGGTCTCAGTGCTCTGGAGCTAAACCTGGGCAGAGCCTGGACGCTGCCTTGGAGGTTGGAGCATCAGTATACTTTTGGGGATGGCTTCTTCATTTAGCACCCTTTCTGAGGTCAGAGAAGGCACTTAAGTTCACTAGGCCCTGTGATCTGTGCCTGACCACTCAGGCTCCCCAAAAAGTTAAGTATATTCTCTTCCAGATCCCACTCCAGCCTAATGAATAGCTTGGGTAATGCCTTACTGGTGATGTATGGTAGCTAAAGAAAATAGGCCAGAGACACTGCAAAAAGCCAGTCATTCTACTAGGAAACAAAGGACATTTTTAGCACCTGGATGTATTTGGTTATTCTTTTTCTGCATCCCCTATTTTGGAGGATGTCTGGACACCCCTAGGCAGTTTCTGCTTTTTCATCTCATCTTGATCTGTTCTCTCCAGTAGTTTTATTTGGACCTGGTTAGCCCCGCAGTTGACACATCACCTCACCCTGCTAATTCTGTGCTTTCTTTCCTCTATCCTGTCCAGCTGTTTTGCCTGAAGTCCCACAGCTCGGTTCCCCTGGCCCCATCTAGGAAGCTGGCAACCTAGAGTTGCTGTACCACTGGTCCAACACGGGTGGTCCTGCCCCAAAACCTTCCTATGGGGTTTTCTTCACACCCTGAGCCTGCACGTCACAAGATGGGAACCCCACCAGGAAAGCCTGCCAGGTACAGCACAGCAGTTGCAAGAGCTTACCGAAAATGCTGCTGAGACTTTGCTGGGATTTATGAAACATATATATTATATATACCTAAGACAGGAAAGGGAAAGGCAAAAGGGAAAATCAAATGGGGATACAATAAGAAAACACTGGATCAATAGCTGATCGTGGTCACAGACAAAAATTGCATGTTTGGAAATTTTGAGAAAGAAATGGAGAATGGAAGAAATGGAGAATAGCCTGGAAAATATCTTTGCATCTCTGAATAAATCTATGATGTACATGTAATTTGACTGCTGTTTGCTTTTCTGATTAGCCCAGTTCAAAAAGGGTAGAAGGGACTTAGAAAGGGTTCAGAAAAGGATGACAAAGATAACAAAAGATATGGGATAATTTCCATCTGAAGAACAATTAAATCAAAGAGTACTTTCCTGGAAAACAGAGATGACTGAGGAAGAACACAATGAAGGTCTATAAAATAAAAACTGTCAGGGAGAAGACAAATAGTGGATGATTGTTCACTTTTTCTCATTATACAAGAACTAAATGACATCAAACCCAATTACCAAAATGAACAAAGTGAGGTAATTCTTCACATGGCACATATTTAAATGGTAGAACTCATCACCACAAGATACTGCATCTGCCAAAAATCTATAGGGGTTAGAACAACAATTAGGTGCCTTCATGACAGAAAAGTCCATCAAGGACTGTTGGAAATATTTATATAATCTCTGAACTGAGAAGTCCCTGAGGCAGCAATTGATGTCAGCTGGGAGCATATTTTAAGGAATATTTCACTGTAGGCTTTTTCTTTCCCTCTATCTCTGCCAAAGTTTCCATCGCCAGAGAGCAGGGACTCAGCTAGAAGGACCAAGGCTCTGAATTGCTACAGCTGTTTGCATGTCCCCTTCGTCTGCATGCTGGGTAGCCTATCAATGCCATGGTTACATCATTAATCTCTCTCCCCATAGGCTAAAATGAGAAAAAAATACAGAAATCTCAAGGTTAGTCTCCAATGCATATTCAGCCAATGAGGTCATACCATTTTGCCATTTCTGTGTGCTGGTTCCTGCAGGGAAATTTCTGTTACCGAACACCACTCAGAAATTGAAAACCATCTCCTCTAATGGACTGACTTTTAAGATCTTTCCACAGAGAACAGGCTTGTAGCTGGGACTGGGAGTTGCCCGGAGATTTCCCAAGAAACTTCAGCCATCTTGTGCAAAGGTTTCAATTTCTTTTCCACATTCAGAACTCTGAATGTCCCTCCATAGAGGCACACATCATGCATGGTGACATATCCCACCCCGCCCCCCCCAATGAGTTAGTTTGTTTTTCCTAGGTACCTTCAGTGGGATTCAGCTCACAGATTGACATCTTCATTCCAATAAAGTGTCTGTGTACAAGCTAGATGTTTAAACTCCACTATGGAGATCTAGAAGAAAAAAAAAAAAAAAAAAAGTAAAAATGGTGTCTGAATATAGATATTTCATGTCATTTGAGCCATCCTAGTCTATCCAAGACGTCTTTACATGGTCAGGAAATAGGACAGAAAACCAATTGTGCAAAATTGTCTCGGGAACATGTCAGAAGGACCTGACTTGTAAGCTTGGAGCAGAAGTAAATGTTGGGCAAAGAACAGACAGAAAATGGAGGTCTGATCCCCACCTTTTCTCTAGGAGAAAGAAGACACAGGATATTTGCAGTGGTTGAATGTATCATCAAAAGTCAGTTCAACGCTTGACTTGAAGGATGGACCACACCACCCAGTCCCTACGTCATCCTGGGAGACATCCCTGCCAAGAGGGTGGGAAGGACAAGTCAGAGATAGTAACTTATCTTGAAGTCTCATGGGGCCAAAAAAAAGAAATGTTTAGAGCAAAATGTTCAGTTCTGTTCAGTTCAATAAACCAAACTTAGCCAACTTTAAGATTTCCTGTGTGCAATGCTGGTGGATAATAGATGTCTTGGGGTTTGGAGGGTAGGGTGTAGACATCCGAAATAATTTTTATGCATTTTCTGGAAACATTAACTACCATTTATTATGCCCAGCTCTCCAATTTCATTTTCACAACACAGCCTAAAGCACATTTATCCGTTCAGAAATTGCTGGACTTTCTGTACTTCTCTACTTTCAAGAATACTGAAACACGTCAGGGACTCTGCCCATCATAGGTCTAGTTGACCAATGCTAAAAATCTCACTGAGACCCTAAGGAAAGTATTTGGGTACTTCACAAAAAGTCAAGGCCCAGTTCAGCTCCTGTGCTGAATATTTATTCTTCTTTCTTCCTCAGCTGCTATCTTCTGGATGGAAAAAAAAAAAAAAAAAAAAAGCCCTCAGAGCTATCATTGACTCTGAAATCTCATTGAAATCTGATCATAATTGTCAGTAGCACCATGGCATTGCCTGTTCAAACCCCACTGCTCTCTCCTAGCAGATCTGTGGTTGCTATAAAGCCTGACAGAACAACACATGGATCAGAAATTTGAGTTCTGTTGTGGCAGAGGAGTGTTTTTGGAAAGAGAAGGTCCAAAGCCTA